TAAGAAGTTTTATTTACTTTTGGATTTTCCTATTGAAAATAGGAAAATGTTTAGCTAGGGCAACAAATCAAAAAGGACAGAGGAAGGTTTTCAAGTCAGGGACTTAAAGAGAAAAAGTTAGAGAATAAAAACAAATTGCATCAATCCCCCTACGAGTTTTGCATTGTCTTTAACCCCGAATTAAGCATTAAGCAACCTACTATTCCTTCACACAAGCTCAGGGCAATTCCAAATTAATAGAAGCAAGCCTGAGTAGAAAGTCACACATTGTTTTACTTTTAACAGGTGCATTTCATTCAGGAAATTCAGGTGAATAATTAACAGGTCCGAAAAATAGGTGGAAATATAATGTATTCTTAAACTACCTAAGAACATTTTTCTTTTTCAGTATTGTTTGTCAACTATTAAGGACATGAGGGAAGGTTAGAGGAACATTTGTGAAACCTGCGAAAGGAAATTATTTCAAATTAGTACCAAAAATTAATAAAGTAGAGGATAATGTTTATCACTCAGCATCTCAAGATTTTCATCAAAATACTCTTGTTGAAAGCAGAAAGAGTTTAAAAGACTATTCAACAATGTCATAAAAAGTATAATTATTAATAACCAAACAAAAGAAATTACAGGAATGACAAAGGCATTTACAGAGGCAGTTACAGGAATAACAGAGGCAGAGCATCTTATGAAATTACAGGAATATTTTCATTAATTAGGATCTTTATTTAGTTAGCAAAAAAACTCCTCTTAATAGCACCTCACAATGAAATAAAACATGCAGCGAACATACTGCATTTTAATCAGAAATTTTATGAGCAAGAGACAGATTCTGGTAAAGTGCTGGCATGGTGAATTAAATGGCTGCATGATGAAAGACTAATTATCTCATTACAAACATCATTAATGAAAAGAGTAGGGATCCATTATAGCTCAGAAATAATATTTTTATGATAACATTAAAATAAAATAAAAATTCACTACAATTATACCAATTTTTGGGTAACATTTGCATTTGAACAATCATTCATTGGAAAAAGATAACCAGGAGGGGAAACTCCAGACCTTGATGGGATACCCATTGAGGTTTACTCAACATTAAGACATAAGATTATGCTACTATTGTTACAAATGTTTAAGGAATATTTTTCAGAGAAAAGCTTCTAGCCAGAAGAGCGTTCATCCATTTTTATCTTTACACGTGCTCTGCTTTCTTTATGCTTAAGAGCATTAATGATGGAATACATTATGGAATTCTGATGATAAATGTTATTGGAGATTACGGAAAGCTATGGACAAAGGAAGATAAAAATCTCCAGTGGTTCTAGTTGGATTTGAACAAATCTGGATGACTTGCAAGGTTTGAGAAGAATTACAAGACTGTTCAGAAATAATAGGACAGCAGTAGCAGCTAAAATAACCATTCATTAAAGCTAATGTATGCAGAACATGTCACTAAATACACATCAGGCCAACCCTTTAAGTGAATAACTGGTAATGTACAGAAATTATGTTGCAATTTACTGGTAACAGAAACCAATTAAGGTGCTTTACACATTCACCTGTTGGCAATTACAAACGAGCACATAACCCCATAAGGAAATTGGTTGGCTGCGTTCTACCTATCAGTGAGTAGTTAAAAGTTATTTATGTCATGTGACAGGGTGACATTAAAACCAAACCCATAACTTTCACTTCTAATTGGTACACTACCTAATCTAAACCTAAACTGTCACAGCTGAGCTACAACAGCACGAAAAACAACAACCTAAAATGATCAAACTACATTAACCCAAGCAACCAGGAAGGTTCCATTCTGACTTCAGCAAAATAAAAATTCTTGACTGTTTCTTTTCCCCCTTTGGAATCTGCATGTGTTTTTAATAAAGTGATGGAAGTCATAAATAGTTTTAACACATCTCTGATGTTGATGAAGGGTGTTAAGAATTATTTGCATTAATACTCTCTTTCATATTTTCCATATTAAAACTAGGATCTGATTTTAAAATCAAATTGTCTTCAGTTGATTAACCTATCAGTCCTTCACTTGATGTAGCATTTGAACCTATCCCAATACAATCAAATATTCCATAGAATAAAATTTAATGTTTTACATTTAAAAAGCTTTAATCATACAGTTTTAAAGACAGAAAAGTAAGGAAATTATAATTGTATTATATGATTAAGAAACCTTAACAAGACTGAGTGTTATAATTGTTTCAATGTGACTTCCAATTAGTCTTAATTGGCATGTTTTGCTGTCTTCCTATTTAGCTGGGGAGCATGTCCTCCTCTGTTTTTTTATTTTTTATTCATCATCTTTATTAGTTTAACACAGTTCCTTTTTTTATCTCTCTCACACAATCTTTTTTTTTTTTGTGCGTCGCCATAGTTTATATACTGATGCTCATTATAGCACCTTTATGGCAGCTTCCCCAACACATAATTACTCACCCAGCTACTGTAATTTTATTGGGAAATTAGGAGCCTCCATTTTCCCAAATAGGAAAATTGTAAGAGACAGAGCTAGATATAAAATGCCAATAATGGCACACTGCAGATATAACATTTATTGTGTCCATGAATGAGTAACATCTTAAAACAGGATAAAAGATTATCTAATTTACTGTGTTTTTCTAATTTCTTGATTTTGTACTAATAGTCTGAAATCAGAACATTTATTGTGAGTAACTAAGGAATTTATGCAGTCTCGCACATAAAAATGAGCGCAAACGACTGGGGATATCTTTTAACAACTGCAAAGTAGGTAGTTTTACAGGATGGCATGGCAACAAGCATATCTTTGTTGCACATGCTTTGGTGCACAGCATGCCAGAAAGTAGAGTGTGAGCTGGGACAGAAGAGTGGAGCAGGGAGCATAGGCAGTTAGAGATGTGTTTGTGCAACCCAAATTTCAAATATCAGCGTTTTTTTGTAAGTTAAGAACAACCTAAAGTAAATTAAAGTACTCAGTTATCTTTTGGCTTCCTAGATAATATGCAATTTGCCCTGTGGTTGGAGCAAACGTTTAATGCTGCATAAAGATGCCCTCTGTACCCCTTTAATTTGTTTCTTTCTCAAATTGTATTATGCTAACTTCTTCAATTTTGATAACATAAAAAGAATCACTTACTTTTTAAAATGTATTTGTTCGTCACACCGAGCTCCGAAAAAGTACTAGAGTTACAATGGTGACCTCTAGAGGAGAGTAAAGCATTCCAAAAATATAAGACCTTAATGTATTATTGTGCACTATTACTTTAGAATTAGAAAAATTATTCAGCCCCCTTGAGTTAATACTTTGTTACGCCACCTTAAGCTTTGGGGCATGTCTCTATCAGTTTTGCACATCAAGAGACTGCAATTTTTGCACATTCCTGTTTGCAAAACAGCTGGAGCTCAGTGAGGTCGGATGGAGAGTGTTTGAACAGCAGTTTTCAGTTATTTCCAAACATTCTCAAGTAGATTCAGGTCTGGACTTGACTTGGCTATTCTAACACCTGGATATGTTTACTTATGAACAATTGCATTGTAGAGTTGGCTTCATGTTTTGGAACATTTTCTTGTTGGAAGACAAATCTCCATCCCAGTCTCAGGTCTTTTGCAGACTCCAACAGGCTTTCTTCCAGAATGGTCCTTTATTTGGCTCCACCCATCTTCCTATCTTCCTTGTCCCTGTTGAGGAAACAGGCCCAAACCATGATGCTGCTACTCCCATGTTTTATAGTGGGTTGGCTTCTTCAGTGTGATTAGCTGTGTTGGTTTTAGACCAAATATAACATTTTGCAATGTGGAAAAAAAGTTTGATTTGGACCAGAGCACAGATCATCTGACCAGAGCACCTTCTTCCACATGTTTGATGTGTCTCCCAGGTGGTTTGTGCAAAAAAAAAAAAAAAAAAAAAGACTTTTTGTGATTATCTTTAAGAAATGGGTTTCTACCCTAAAGGCCAGATTTTTGTAGTATGACTGATTGTTATCCTATGGACAGAGTCCCCCAACTCAGCTGTAGATCTCTGCAGTTCATCCAGAGTGATCATGGTCATTTAATTTTTTTTTATTTGTTCTGAAGCTTTTCTAAGCTTCGTTTTTACACTCTTGTGTCGACAGCATGATTTACCATACTATGATAGGTCATTGGTCTTTTGTCTTTTATTTACAAACTCCCCTATACAGAACACCTTGATCACTGCTGCACTTTATGAAATGTTTTTTCGCTGCTAAGCTGCTGTTCATTTGCTGTCTGGAAGCTGTACAAAACAAAATGTTGTTTTGTATACACTGTGTGTATACAAAATGACAATAAACATCTTGTGGATTGTCATCAGAAATGAAACCAGCAGAGTAATAGTCAGGTTATTTTTTTTAGAGGGTTATATATCTAATGCACCAACTCTCCAAACACACACCCACACGCACACACAAAAATAAATGCTGTACTGTATTTTTTGATGGGAAACTGAACCTATATAAGCCAGTTTTTTTAGGCAGCATAGCCAATGAATACAAACTTTACTTTGATATTGTGACCCCACATGTTAAGTAGGAATACTTCATTTAACTTTGACTGATGTACATCATCTTAGCATAAACTTACCAACCAAAACTGTCACAAATAGAGAGCAAATTTCAGGCAAACCGGACTTTCCGTCTATTTCTTCCCACATTCTACTTTAACCCCATGCTTCAGAAAGAATTCCTGAAAATATTGGTACTTATTAGTAGAAAATATTGGAACAGTTACTAGCATTCTGTAAAGTACTTTTGCTTCTATCTTTTTTTTTTTTTTTTTTTTACATGTTTTGATATCAAAGCTTGACTTATCTAATATTAGAGTTTGCCAACAAAAAAAGATTTAAACAGAGCATTTCTGTTGAACATTTATTTTGTTGAATAACAGTTTAATGTCTTGTTTTTCCATCTCTTCTTTTTATCTCCCCATTGCCACCTTTTCACTACATTTTTCTGTATCTCTGTCCTCATTTGACCTTCTCTGTGCACTTGCAGGACTACACATTGACAATGTACTTCCAGCAAGCCTGGCGAGACAAGCGACTGTCCTACTCCGAGATCCCACTCAATCTGACTTTAGATAACAGGGTGGCAGACCAGCTCTGGGTCCCTGACACCTACTTCCTCAATGACAAGAAGTCATTTGTTCATGGTGTCACTGTGAAAAATCGAATGATCCGACTGCATCCGGATGGCACTGTTTTGTACGGTCTAAGGTCAGATTTTAATCTTCTCTTATAGAATTTATTATCAGAGGTTGGTTATCTTAGTTCAGAAGTAGAAAGCCTGTACATAGATTACTTCCAACCATTTGCATTTCCAGCTCTACAACATTGATGAATGTTTAAAAGCTTGGTCTCAAACTCCAATCCTCAAGGGCCAGTGTCCTGCATCTTTTAGAAGCATCTCTGCTTCAGTACACCTTACTCCAATATGAACTCACTATCAGACCTCTGCAAAATTGATTCTGGTGTGAAGGGCAAGGGACCTATTTAAAAGTTGCAGTACCCTGGGCCTTGAGAAGTTGGGTTTGTGACCACTGGTTTAAAATCACATGCTTAAGAGAACAAGATAAAAAAAAAATGGCTGGGATTTTACCTTCTGAGGATGGAATTAACCTGAACCTATTTTCTACCAATATGTTTGGTTTTAATGTTATGTTTACCTTTATTACACAAAGAATGTATCAGAAAAAATGAGTACTTTTGGTATGCTTGTAAATGATATTGAATCCAGATATAAAATTCATCTTTAACCTAGCAAAGCTATAAAACAAAAAAAAAAAAAAAACAACTAACATGGCAAGATAAACACAGATATACTGAAAACATACAAAATAAGAACCAAAACACTAAAAACCTGGAAAAAAAAAAAATCCATAAACTCCCATTGGAGGTTAAACACCAGTCACAACAAGTGAGTCAATGAGAAAAAAAAAAAAAACAAACAGCAAAGAAACTAGGTAGACAAGGGGGGACTTAAGATCATGGTGCAATTGACATGAAGACCACTGCTGCTTCTGTTGCTGTGGACAATGGAAATCTTCCTGCGATGTGTAGGGATGGTGTTAGAGAAGCAGCAGCCAGAGGCACTAAGGCTGTGTCTGATCGTCCGCCCTAATCACTATACAGAGCACTAGTATTTTCCTTCGATTCAGAAATTTTCTCTCAAAGTTAAAAATGTTTCATGGGCGGGACTGTGTTTCTATCAGACAATCTCAACAGAATTTAAGTCTGAGTGTTGATATTGATAACAATATGAATAATAAATAATAATGTTTTTTGTAACTACACTCCTTTTTCAGCTAAACATTTATCTAATTACTTTTACATGGTATTGCGTTTACATTACTTGCAATCTAATGCAGGGTGTTACTACAACTTAATCAATCAAATCAATTTTATAGAAGCAGAGACATGCAGGAAGCTGGGATACGCATATGTGGCACTGATTAGCTGAGTGGAGCTAGGATTCCCAGGACTATCTATTTGTACAGGAACAGAGTGTTAGATCTTATTGATCTGTTTTTGAAAAGTGTTGAAAAAACTAATTATTAGTTTAGGTCTCACTAAAACAGTTTTTAATTTGGTCTTTTTTTCTGTTACAGATATAAAATAAAATTTGACAAGGTATTCTTGTTTCAGGTCATGAAATCAAAAAGATAACTCACATTATCATCTTATCAGCTGTCAAGACCCATGATCACTTGGCATCATGATTCCCATGCTCTGTACAACACAGATATTACAAATATTGCTTTGGATGTAGTGGGATTAGACTGGTTGAAGAAATCCATCATCCTTGACACTCAATAACATTTAAGAAGGATAACCAGAATTCCACAAATCCTTAACTGGTTCATATAATCAGTGAGAGCTCAAAACTTCAGAAAGCACGCACACATAAGCTATTCCCTTAAAACCCTCTCCAAAAATATATAGTAGTTTTAATTTATTATATAAATAAATGTTGAAACAAGAACAATGTTTGTTTTTGTGCCATAAGTTAGACCCTTTCAGATTAAGCTGTATTTTCTAAGTACTTAAAAAAGAAAAAGATTTTTAAAAAAAATGGTTATAGAACTATATTCTGTCTGATGTTTTTACTCTTTTTTTTGGTTCTTTTACTTCCTTAGATGCCATACATCACAAACACATAAATACCGTATTCATTATTAACACACAGAGAACAGAATATAATTAAACTGTATTGTCATCAAGTTGGGAAATGTATGTTCCCCAGCAGCAAAATAAAACACAAATGGCAGCATGCAAACAAAGAGTAAAATCGTAAATAAAAAAAACAGGAGACCATGCAGTAAAGGCACATCGGTATGCTAAGGTATAAACAAAACACTGCAGTTGTTAGTTCTTAAAAATAGTAAAAGTAGTATTTATTATTCAAATGAAATTAGTATTGAAAAAAATAAAGAAGTATGCAATAGAAATTTCTGATTTTAAGGAATTTGCAGTCCAAAAGTTCTCAATTTCATTACCCTTTCTGAAGACTGTCTGGAAAGAAAAGTACAGTAGACTGCCATTAAAGTTGAGGGAGGTTTTAGCAGAGACTGAGCTCTGTTGGGTCTAGAGAGGAAGGAGTGGAGAGGTGGTGGTTGTGTTTGATCAACTATGGTAAAAGAACCAGTTTAGATATTTCACCCATCACAAATCTCATACAGCCTGAGAGTTTGGTTTGTTTTGTTTGTGACATTTTTTTCAGTCTCTCCCAAACCCCACAGATGTTGTTGTGTCTAGTCCTGCATCTTATTCCTGTAGGTGTTTTTTTCATCCTTGTGTTTCTTTCTTAGTTCCTCCTTGTTTCCTTTTGTTATGATTCTCCCCTTTTGGACTCCTTTTTGAGTTTTCAGTATTTATTTCATTTTGTTTTGTTTGTCATTGGGTTTTTTATTTTTATTTATTTTTTTCATTTTGAGTTTTATTTAAGCTGTGTGCATTTTTTGAGTTACTCTCTGTTCCCCCCTTGTGCCAGTCTCCTTTCCCCTAGCTCCCTTCTAGTTACTTCTATCCACACCTGCTCCCTATCAGCTGATTAGTCCATTATTTGTTCTGTCCCACATACAGTATATACTCCTCCTCTTCAGTTTCTAAATGTTTTGCTGATTTTTTTTTTTTTGTTGTTGTTACTTGGCTACCCATGTTTGTTTTACCCTGATGTCTCTTGGTTTTTTGTTTATTTTATATTTGTTTCTGTTGCCGTTATGCATTAAATCAATAAAACTCATCCCTGCCTTTGGGTCCTCTACCAACCTCCACCCTACGTTGAAACCTTTATACCAAGCTCTGTATTTTTAAGTATACTTAAGATTAGCCTATTTTGGGGGGGAAAAAATCAGACTTAAGGATAACGTAAGCTTTTAGTGTAGCTGGGGCCGTAGACAAACTTTAAACATATATCAAAGAAGGCCAGTAAAATGACAATTTGTCAGAGAGGAAGAATAGTCAATTATCACTATGTATGTTTTTTTTTACTGAAACAAAATATTTTAAGAGAGTAGGCTACAAGAG